AGGGCACAATTATACAAATAGTAAAGGCACACATATAGAATAGCAGAGTTACAGATGTATTATAACAAGTTAAAAATCAAATAGTGGCCTCTGCCTCTGTTTCTGCTGTTTGTCACGTAAGCATTCTGCTAAATTCAGTCAGCCTTGACTGAGTTCAATTGTCTTTCTTCTGATAATGTGCTGGGTCAATTTGACTATGTCCAGCTCATGTTTTCCTTAGTTAAAAGGCTATATATTGCTTCCAACTTGCTTCAGGGACTCTGGGACAAAGTGACTCAGTCTAGCATACCTTTGACTTTGTGTCCTCTATTTGAACCCTCTCCTTTCATCCCCTGGATTTTCCTACATTATGGTAAACAATTCCTTGTAAATAAATCTATTTAGAATTAGCTTATCTGATGACAGATGACTTAATTCAGTTTATAGAATCAGTCATGTAATAACCTTGTATTCCCTACTTGTAAACTGTGTTTAAACTAAACCCAAAGCTGACTCATTGCTGATAATTTGGACATGCAGAAGCAGCCTGCTAGCATAATAAATTGTTGCCTCCAATTTGTTGGTGCAAAGAGTCTTCCTTTTGATTTGATTTCAGATTTCCACAAAGAATGAGGAGAGGTGGGCTAGAAGGGCCAGAGGCCACTGAGTGTGACAGTGGTCAGTAGACCTGATACCATTTCTTCTTGAGGCTTCAGGACTCAATGTTTGAAATTTGAACTATACCAATAAAGGGATTCTTGAATATACCCAGACAATTCTGACATGCAGATGGTGGGAAGCCCCAGTGAGGCAGATACCAGTTCAGAGGCAGGATGAGATGGACCTGTGTGGTCCATGATGGTCCCATATGGTATATCCTCTTCAGCATGCGTCACAGAGCCCTGGAACGTCACATGGCTATAGATTTTAGAGAAAAAAGAATGGGAGGAACACAGTCTCCAGAATGAAAGAAACTCCAATTGGACTACTAGTAGTAGTAGGGCTACTGGTGGTAACTCTAACCCCAGCCCTAACCCAATATGACATATTTAAAACCCGGTCTTTTGGGATTCCAAGTATGGAGTAAAGTTTTTTTTTTTTTAATTTTTAAAATATTTATTTTAAAGAACATAAAACAGAATAAAACCAATCAAAACAAATCAGAGTAAGAGATACAGGCCTAAAAATATTACAAAATCAACAATAGTTACCATAATGCCTTTTAATGTCTTCAAAATAGCTGCAGATAACTTGGAACATAGTAAAAGTCAAACAGAACAGAATAGAAGAGAAACAATAAAAACAAGACAATGCAATAAAGGACTTAAAAAAAGCCAATAGTAAATCCAAAATTGCTACCATAATATATTTTGCTACCTTTGAAATAGCTGCTCCTGCCATCAGGTTTGATGTAATCAAACCAAAGATAAGAGAATAAAATCGAACCCAGCAAAACAATGAAATGATATAGGACCTCAAAACAAGACCATAGTGAATCAACAATGGCTGCAACCCTCAGAAAGAGATTCCCTCCCTAGATGCCACACTGTGTACCACTATCCTCTGAACTTATGATCAGACCACTGGCCCTAGACCTGCAATGTCAGTGAAATACCAAAGCACCACAGGCATCCAATTGCATTTCACCCCCATGGCTATCATCACAGACTGTATTTCTCTGGATAAGCTGATTGCTTCAGCGGGGAGGGGCCTGTGGGTTGCTCTATTATTTGACACATGTGACATGATGATCAACAAGCTTCTATGAATTGCAGTCATGCACATGTTCTATATCATGTGAAATGACAGCAACAGAGAGTAATGGGATTAAATAGTAGAATTTGTATTTAAGTTAGAACTAGGTAATTCTATTGATTTTTTACCTCAGTATTGACCACAGGGGACTCCAAGAACAAAGACCAGGGATATATGGGGTACAGACTAAGGCTACTGGAACATCAGGTTATTAAGCATTTTGCCCTAGTCATTGTATCTCCAGAACTCAGCACTTCTCCAGCAATTTTAGTGACCCACCTCTAAGAAGGTCCCATCTCCAAGCAACACATTCAGCTATGAACTCATAGGCAGATTAATCTACTGATGAGTATAACACCCTTAATCCAATCACATTGCAAATCCCAAACCCCTTGCAGCCATTTATGTCTTGATAAAGGGAGAAGCAGAATCTTCCATTTCTTTACTCCCTAAGAGTGGCCCTGTGCTGCTGTCAGCAGTGGTAGGTGTGGTCTACAAGCCAAGCTGCTCGCTGTGAGCAAAAGGGGTAAGCCCAAATATGTGAAGACCAGTGAGTGACTGAATAAGCATATTTTGAACTTGGGACGGAATGGCCAGCACTCATCCGGAGTCCATCCCAGAGTCATCTTTGCCAGAAATAAGGTATATTGGCACCATAGGAGGCCTTGGCCATCTCCACAAGGTTGCAACTGATGGTTAACAAGTTTATGGGAACCTGGCTGGGGAGGTGTGAGTGTCTCCCTAAGAATGAGTCTTGGTGTGGCGAGTGATTTCTTGGTTCCTCATGTGTCCTGCAGCCTATATTGTTGCACCCATTCACATGAGTTTAGTCATGAAGAGAATACTGATCATGACAGCCTTCTTAATGCACTTCCCCTCAAAACTTGCCCATGTCAGAGGAACATGACCCCATGAGACAGTGAGAGGAAAGTGTTAAGTTCTGAGCATGAGTGTGAGTGTGGATACATGTATGGGATGAGCTGCCAGAAGATATGAAAAAGAAAGGAGAATGAAGCTGTAGTTAGACACTGCTCATGGGACTTAAGTATGATGTACTCTTGGAAGTTTTAGAAAACTTTCTTGCAGGGAAGCCAAAAACAATGGGTGCTGATGGGGTCAGCAAGATATAAAATGAGATATGTCTTCCCTTGGGTTTTGAAAAGATTGAGTCTGAGACTGGATAGCACTTTGGGGGCTGTAAGTAAACATCACAGAAAGAAAGGCTAAGGGGGAGCTCTTCCATTGCCTGCTCCTCTCATGTTGGGAAGTGTTCCCATTTGCCAATGCAAATAATTAACAATGAGGCTGTCATCCCTCAGAATGTGCAAGTAAGAGAGAATGCCTGTGGTCAGTTAGCAAACACAGAGAATGACTGAGGAGTTTCAAAGTGTTTTGTTGGTTAAAATTTTGTTGGTAAATGGATTTCATGGAATACTAGACAAATGCCTTCTGGGCACTAAAATATTTATGCATATAATCAGTTGAACTTGATAAGATATCTGATTGGTGATTTTTCCATTTAAGATTATAGATACTGCAAAAGTTCAGATGGTAAATGTCACACAGCAAGGAGTAATTCACATTTTGATGTACCTAGAAAAACCTACCAGTTGATTCTGTATGGTTACTTTAAAATGTTTGAAGCCTGGTTTGTAATTATATGATTTCAGTAATCTTTTATTTTAATATAATATTTTATATATATATATATATATATATATATATATATATATATATATATATTCATGGGCTAATCGTTAAGGCAAACATGCTGTTATTTTGGTCAACATTTTATGTGGAATCTTGTGTAACTGCAGAGTATTAAAATTGGGATGCAGACTTTGTCACTTTGACAGCAAACATGTTCATTTATAGCACTGTGTAGTTGGTGTTGTGTAAAGTCTTATGACCAAAACTGTGACTGTCCATGGACACTCTGTTTGCTTGCATCTATTGTGTATTGTGCTCCTGTGAACATAGGCATTTGCTTAACCTTCAAAATATTTTTTTTCTTCTCTTAGTTGTTACATAGTTTATTTTTTTGTATGCAGATCACTAATTCATTTGGTGTTTCTTTTAGAGTCTGACCTGTATGAAATTAGGCCTTTAACAGAACTGTAAGTCTGCTGGTGTCCACCTGTCTTTATGGATATCAGTGGGACACAGTTTTAGTTAGAATATGTTTCAATATCTAGTAAGGAGGATTGTCCCAAGGTGGAGAGAAATTGCCTTGGAGAGAGATATGTCCTTCCAGTGTGCCCCGAGATGGTGGGAAAGAGCACTGAGAGACAGATGAGCTGTTACAGTTTTGATCCAAACTGTCCCTCGGTAAGTCATATGTGTTCAGAAGTGGAGATTTTCCAGTTATTTGTTATTGGGTGTTATACTCATCAGCAGATTAAGCCATCAATGAGCTCATAGCTGAATGTGCTGTCAGGAGGTGGGGCCGGTGAGTTGGTCACTGGGTCCTGACATGGGAGGGGATATTCTTGTACCTAGCTCCCCTCTTTTACTCTCTGCTCTTGGCTACTACAAGGTGAGGAGCTTTCTTCTGCCATCCTTTTCTCCCATGCTGTTTCTACCTTGGAGCCAACTGAGTATAGAGAACCAGATCCTCTAAAGTCCTGAACCAAAATAAATTCTTCCTTCTTTAAGTTTCGGCAACTGAATGTTTTGTCCCAGTGACATAAAAATATAGGACCATATTATTAAAGGGAAAAATGAGCTCATTCTGATTCTCAAGATTGTGGGAAGGAGAAGAATTTCATTTGACTTCATTTTTCTGCAAGAGCTTAATTCAGTCATAACATGCATTTGTTGCATGTTTGCTTTTGTCTTTTTGTTTGTGTTCCTCCAAAAAAAATTTTTTAAACCAAGAATTGAGACTTCCAAAATCCTTATGTTGAAACCCAATACTCAGTTTGATGAATTTAGAGGGGGAGCCCTTGGGGACCTATTACATCATAAGGGCACAGTCTATGTGAATGGGATTGGTGCCTAAACCGTAAGGAACCCCAGAGAACTTCACCCTTTCTGATGTATGAAGATACAGCTAGAGAATGCCTGTCTATGAACTAGAAGTGGGTCCTCACCAATCACAGAGTTTCTCTTGGACTTCTCAATCTTTAGAACTAGGATAAGCAGTTCTAGAGAAAAAACAATTTCTGTTGTTCATAAGGAACATTTTGTTACAGTAGTTCAAACAGACTGAGACAGTACAAAATGTGATTTAATGAACAAACATTTGTACTTTAGATGAGCAACTTTTAAGGCTCCCTTGGAACTGACTTGTGTCCCAGTGTAAAAATGTCAGTCACGGTGGGCAGAGGGTGATGATCCTGCTGTTTGAAGCCTCTCATTATTCTCTTTATCCAGGACAGATAGCTTGTGATCCTGGTGAAGACTTGTGGAACAGTCCTATTTTCATTGTCTCCATAGGAGATAATACTCCGGGCCACATTGTTATATATGAGGGGGCCACCAGAGTCTCCCACTAAGCCAGGCTTCCCTGCTCCTGCTGTCCTAAAACCCTATTTGTCAGAAAAGGCAGAGGTGAGTGGGTTTCTTCAACTCTTTATGTATGTGAATTGGCAAGTTGGTGGGGATGCAGCAGTGTAGTCTCAGGTTTATCAGTGGCGGGGCCTCAGGCCTGGCTGTGGTTACTGTCCCCAGATCAATCAGATTCAAGGTGCTTTCATCTTCTCCAGGAAAATGCAGCTTATATATGCATTGTGAGTCTTTCTTCTGTTCCTTTAGATATAATATTGATGGAAAAAATATCCCCACTCCACCCTGATCCCATCTGGCCGCTAGACTGAGGTTGTGGAGGAAAGGAGTCTGTTCCCACTGTCCCATCTCTGCCCAGATCCCTCTGTTCCAGGAAGGAGTGGCAGATGTCCATGTGCTTACCTTGAAGGCAGCCTTCTTTTGCCTTGGATCCCCCACACAAATCTGAGTCCAGCTGTGGTAGGAAGGAAAGCGACGGTGGCACTTTTGATCATGCTGCGCTTCCTGGAGTGTGTCTAACCACTCATGCAGGTTGATCCAGCCCCAGCCAGCCACTGTGCACAAGGCTCCAGGTCTAGGCTTCTGCCCAGTGTTAGACAGGGCCACTGGCCTCATGAATCGATTGCACCTGATGCTATTCCTCAGCTGTCAGGAAGAGTGCAGGAGGTGGGGACTGGTTATATAGTATTCTCCTCATGTTCCCCGTGACCCACTCCCCTGGAGTCCTGTCTTTGTTTTCTCCACTAGTATCCCAGGACACACTAAAGCCACCACACTGGAAGAGACCAGACTAGCCCCAAACACCAGAGGGTCAAGCATGCAGTACCTGAAGTAACATGATGTCATTCAGGGCATTCTTGCCATTATATCTGGGGTGGTGGATGGCTCTGAACACACTGGTCTGTTGCTGGGTCCTTTTCTACTTCTGGATGTTGTGGGCCCCCAGTGTGACATTTTTGGCCCTAAAAAGTTTATGGCTAAGTATAAGAAGCAGAAGTTATGGCCCAGTAACTCTGTAGTGCCATGGACATCTCCAAGTAGGGCGAGACTGCAGCTAGAAGAAGAGGGAATGGAAACGTTCCAGAGCTGAGTCCAGACCCTTGTTGCCACCACAGCATCCCTAGCTGGGGATGCCAGAGCATGGTGACCTTAACTTTGCTCTCTAGACTAAATTGTAAGCTTGAGTTCATATTTTGAGCCTCAGTACATGCCTTCATCTTCTGTTCTTTTCTCCTCCTTTGTACCAAACTCTGATCTCCTGTTCCCCCATCCTTCTTCATCTCTTTTTACCCTTTCACTTCTACAGTAATGTTGCTTTCTGATGGCTCTTCTAAGGGGTTCTTTTGTGTGTGAACTGCTGTATCCCCAGGAGATTTTCTGAATCTGTACTGCTGTATCCCCAGGGGCTCCTGAATCCTCACCTTCCCCAGCAGTGACCTGCTGTCATCACAAAGCCTTCTCTCACAAGAAATCCCTCGCAACTGCTCAGATCTTCTGGATTCTCAACTTGAAGGAATGCCATGTAAGGGAGGGAATGGGGCCTGGCCTCCTGGCCTCCAATGACCTGCCCTGGAAGAAAGAATTCAGCACTTACTCTGTGCTTGAGAACCTGCATGCAGTACAGGCACAGATTGGTAGCTTCAGAAAGACTGAAAGGTGGGAGGGCAGAAGAGACCATGGTGAGAGAGAGGGAAGCTGACAGGGAGGGTCCCAGATGCTGGGAGATGGCTTCCAGATTCCTCCGCTGACGTGTCCCACAGCTCACCTCACTCTTCTCCACAGTGGTTGCTACATGAAAGACAATTGCTGGCTTCAGGAGTGGAGGAGAAAGACTGCTGTAATCATGAGCTCTCCTTGAAATCCACTGGCACTTTCCTCCTCAGGGAGCTTCCCTCTCTCTGAGAATAGCTCATAGGCAGCTTAGGACTGGTGTTTAAGAAGTTGGACCTGAATAAGTGGAACTGCTACTGCTGTATCTTTGTCTCCAGGCTTTGACACATAGGTTACAGAATGCATTTGCATAAATCATACTTTATATAGCACTTATATATGGGGCAATTTCCCAAAACTTGTGTATACTAATGATTTAACTATCATAGCCACTCTATAAGATTGTTATCTATATTTTTCCCATTTAATGGTTGGGGAATAAGGAAATATGAATGAAACATATGCTCAAACATATCGAATTAAGATGTGCCAAGGAAGGGGCTGGGGATTTAGCTCAGTGGCATAAGCACCTGCCTTGCAAGCAGGCAGTCATGAGTTCGATCCCCGATATCGATTAAAAAAAAAAGATAAAAAGATGCGCCAAGGAAGTGTGGCCCCACAGTCTGTGGGAGGGGATCAGACCTCTGAGGCTGAGGTTGGTCACTCACCTGCCGTGGCTTCAGGGAGTAGGCTAAAGGCCAACAAGAGCAGGAGTGGCTGCATCTTGCCTGAAAGTCTGCTCAGTCGGTTGCTGCATGCTTCTCCTCCTGTCAGGCTTTTAGCCTTTGACAGAGGAAGGAAGGGTTAGGAGGGGAGTTTGTGTATTACAGTCCCATTGTCCTGATGTGTGGTGGTGCAACTTCCAGGGCTGCCTAGGAGGTTTGGCCACCAACTGCCAGTGCTCTGGGCAATGGGGAATCATCCAAGCCAATGTGCTGATCTCCCACTGAGTTGCTGAGTCAGTGCTGACAGCAGAAAGAGGAACTCAGGGCAACAAGAAGGGGCTTTGGAGCTGTGTGCCAGAAACCTCAACCTACCCAAGCCCCCAACTTTTCCAAGAAGACAAGACAGTTGAGACAAGACAGTTGGCAACTGCCTGCCTCACCATATCCTATCCCTGTGAGTTCAGAATGTCTGTCCTTTGGAATTTCAAGTGTTCTGTAAATGAATGCAAGTCCTTTGGATTATGTATGCATATATACTTAGTAAGTTTTGAATGAAGGTGAATGACACCTGGTGTGGTAGGGAATGTGTGTGAGAACACCAAGAAAAATCAAAGGAAGCAGAAAAGGAAGTGTGAAGCTTAGCTATCTCTACTCTCTAGTCTGAGGCCACCCTGCTGAGCTCCCCTTATTCCCATTTCTTTACATAAGTTGTCAAGGATGTTGAGTAGCCACTCTCCTGAGCTGTGCATTGTTCTGCTGGAGAACAAGGAACAAGGAAAGAGCGAAGATATGTTACTGATCCTTGCTTTTTCAAATCACCGGAGTCTGAAAAATTCTCAGTAAAAATTATGCCTGTTAATAAAGAAATACATAAAAAGGTGATAAATATATACAAAGGAATATTGTACGTCATAAAGAAGGATAAGTTTAAGTTTTTTGTGGGAAATGGGTGGATCTTGAGATTATGATTTTAAGTTAAATCAGACACAGAGGCTAAATATGTTTCTCTTATATGAGAAACCTAAAACATAAACGACTCAAAGAGCAAATAAAAGAGAGATCTAGGAATCAAGGAGGGAGGTCTACTATGGAGATGGGGAAAGAATCTGAGGAAAAGGGGAGATGGTAACTGTGACAGGAAGACGAATAATAATGATCAAGGGGCCATATATGTATATATAGTTCACCAACATTATTACAATTATTATGTATTGCAAATATATCCTAGAAAAAAAATGTCTTTAATCTGATCAAAATTATCCACAGAAGCCCCAGGTGTACTGTACTTAATGGCAAAGCATCAGCAGTTTTTTCTTTTGAAGGAAAACAGTACAAGAATACCAGGACACAAACTATCATCTGTCATGTTCATTATTACACTGTTTTAGCCAGTGCAGTTAAGCAGGAAATACAAGCAAAATTGTAATGATCTGAGAGATGACCATCTACACAGAGATCCAATTGCAGAAAGATCTACAGTGTTTTTTTTTAAAAATCGGTACCGGGGTTGAACTCACAACTGTGTGCTTGCAAGGCAGGTGCTTATGCCGCTGAGCTAAATCCCCAGCAAGATCTACAGTTTAATTACCAACATTATTTAAAAAGCTTAACAAATTTGGTAGTAAAGCAATTTAAAAACCAGACATATTGCTACATGTTCAGTAACTATTAATGAAAATTGAAAGTATTAATATTTACATGGCATGTAATGATCAAAGTAAGCATAAATCTAAAAGACTATGAATAACATACCTTTGATAAAAATGATAAAATTAGATGAAGACCATACCTTTGTACACAATAATATCAAACATAACAAGATAGTATTAAACCAATGAAGAGAATGAGACATTATGAAAGCCACTGCTGATATCCTGTTGGTCTTGTTTTGAAGTTTTTGTTGCTTGCATTGTTCTATTCTGATTTTCTTTGTTCCATTTTGTTTTGTTTTATTCTCTTTAACATAAAAAATTAGATGAAGAGACATATAACAAAGCCCAAACATAAGTTCTATATTTATGAATTAGAGATGAAATAGAAAAATGTCACTTGTTCCCCAAATTGACTTACATGCTTTCTCATTCCTTTTTCTTTCTTTCCTTCTTTCTTTCTTTCTTTCTTTCTTTCTTTCTTTCTTTCTTTCTTTCTTTCTTTCTTTCTTCTCTTCTTGTACTGGAGATCAAATTCATGACCTCTTGCTTGCCAGGCAGGTGCTTATGCTACTGAGTTAATTCCCTGGCTCATTTTTTAATTTTTCTTTTTTTTGGAGACACGGTCTCACTGTGTAATTCAGATTGGTCTCAAACTCACTATACAGCCCAGGCTAGCCCCAAAATCATAGTGATTCTCTTGCTTCAGCCTTCTGAGTGCTGGGATTACAGGCATGTCCTATGGTATCTGGAGACCCATATGTTCCTTGAACCTGAAAAACAGTTTATAAAAATTATATTGTTCTAAATATATTTGGGAAAAACAAATGATGAAAAATAGCCAGGATCATACTAAAAATGAGAGAACTTGCTTATAAAATAAAGCCATAGTAATGAAGATGGTGTCATGTTGATGACACACAGAGGCATAGACTCTTTGGCCAGACTCCTATATGTATAGACACTGACATACGTATGTATGAAAGCTTAATTTGTGAGGGAGTATATATTTACTATCACAGTAAAGAAGACTATTCTCTTCTCCCCAGTAAATAGTATTAAGAAAATAGAAGTCACATATTTTCTAGGTGAAAAAGCATAAAGCTTGACTTTATCTCATACCACGTCCAAAAATCCATTCTGGATAGATTATGGGATCCAAGTGTGAATGAAGATTAAAAAAACATAATGTAACCATATCTTCATGACAAGGGAAGGTTGAAGACACTATGTATGAAAGTGCTTATACTGAAAGGATTGATGAATTTGATAAATTTAAGAGAATAAAGATAATTCATAGAATGAGCACAGACACTTATAATGCATATGACTAACAAGAGACTTATATCGATATTGTGTAAAGAACTTCTGTAAATCATGTGAAGGAGGTAAATAAATCAATGGAATATGGACAAAGGACTTTAATAACCTTGGTTCAAAACAGAATGTCCACTTTTTATGCTTTGATCCTGTGACTTGAGCAAATATTTCTAAGATGACAATGTGTAATCTATAACTGGTGATTTCTTACAGTTTTTTTTGTAGTCCTGTATTACTTGTACCCTTACACTGTTTTGTCTTCTTTTATTTTGTTTTTTTCTTTTTAAAAAAACCAGAAGGTTCAAGTAATCAATAAACCTTGGATAAGATGTTGATCTCACCAGCTCCCAGAGAAAGACAAATACCAATTCCAGTTCACTTCCTCCTGTGTTTATACCCTGGAGAAACATGTTCAGGAGCTCACTGCAGCGTTATTCACGATAGCCCTGCCCTGGAAACCTTCGGAAGGCTCATTGATGGCAGTATGCATCATCACACTGAAGACATTACCAGAATGGAATAAGCACAGTTATGAAAAAAAATGAAATATTTGCTTATGAGCTACATGAACGAGTCTTACAAACATATAGACAGAAACAAGAATACTACATTCAGTATGACTTTGTATAAAGTTCAAACTAAGCAAAGTGAAACTACAGTGGATAGATTCATATATAGACAAGAAAAATGTCATAAAAAGCAAGAAAATGGTCACCACATGTCAGAATAGTAGTTAACCCTGGAACTGCAGGGAAGAGAGGATACCTTGACTAGCAGGAGACTCATGGGACATTTCTGAAATGTATGATATGCTCTATTTTTGACGTAAAATATAGTCTTGCTTTATAATGATTCCTTAAACTGTGCATTTGTTTATGTTTTGTGAAGTTTTTAGGTATGTGTATTTTGTAATACAATTTTAAAAACAGGAACACTAAAGCCAGCCTTTATTTTAACAGGGCCTATGCTATAGCATAAGAAGGAGCCCTCCTAGACTAGAGATGCGTCTGTCCCAAGGTAGGGGTCAGAGAAGAGACGTTGGTGGAGAGGAGGGTATATGAGAGATATTGGAGCATATACTTTATAATATTTTTACTTCTTATTTAAATAAAAATTATAATATTTGAACAAGTAGCTTGTGATATGTTTCACAATATTCATAGCTTATTACATCTACTTTTGACAGTTTTATTGCATATCCATCAGTTATAATGTTTTTTGTCCTCTGGGGTGTTGGGAAATTAGGGTTGGGTGTTTCCCATCTCCTCCTTGGGCCCCATAAGCTGCCACTCATGCAAACCTTCTGTGCGGGTAGCTGACAGCAGTTTCTGGGTTATGCTCTCCCTGCTCTTTCTTGGATTTTTAGGAGACTAGAGTTCTACTGAGACAGTCCAAGTCTTGACTACCTTAATGTCACTATTCAGAGGACATTGGAGATACTCCTGGGGAAATCTCCTCTGATGAGCTGTTGTTGTTTAAGTGTCAGTGCTGGGAGAAGACTGTGGCAGAGCCATTGTATTTCCACCACTGTGTCTTAGAGAGCCAGATACTTCCTACTAAGAACTGACCTGTGTTGTAGGAAAGGACGGATAACAAAGGCTAAACCCCTGGAGAGTCATAAAGTACATGACTTACATTGGTAGATCATAAAACATTCTGATCAGGCCGGTGAGAGGGAAAGAGACACCCTGGAGAACTGAACTTCGTGCTGGTCCAGGGCAGGGCAGGAAATGGGACCTGGGTTGGCCTGAGGGTCATCTCAGCCTCCTAAAAAGCAGCAGACAGCACTGAAAGTGGGAGAAACCTGCCCCACTGGGGAGAGAAACACTGGAAACAGGAAACTGAGCGCCCTGGGCCTCCTGGGTCTCTCGAGTTACCTTTTTTCACTGCCTTCTGTATTTGCTGCCAAAATGTTGGGAATCTCATGAAGGTTGTTGGCCTAGAGATGGTAAAAATTGCCTAAACCGAACTCTCCTACACTGTTGGTGGGAGTGTAGACTGGTACAACATTTGTGGAGGTCAGTCTGGAGATTTCTCAAAAAGCTGGGATTGGAAGTCCCATTTGACCCAGCTATTCCACTTCTAGGCA